TTGGCACCTGCCGCTTCCCATTGCTTGTCGCGTCGATAGCCATCCTTCTGCTCTTCTTGATGGGGGGGGCTATTTAGGGAGCCCCGAACTCCATTGGACCCCAAAGCTCAGTTGCTTTCCTTGGTTGGCCAAAGGAATCCCCGTTTTTCAGGGGGGAAGAAGGTTCCAATTCTTGTGTGCGAAAAAAATTTTATTTGACTTTGTTCTATTCCTCCTTTCCCTTTTGTGCGGTGTGGGCGGTGTGGTTGTGTTGTTTTTTGGTAACAGCGATCGATAAACGTATTATGACTACACAAGGCGCTAGAGGAAGTAATTTATTTTTGAGGTTCTGACCCTATGAAATGCATGTTTATTATGTTTATTTTTATTTTTTGATGATTGCTGGATGATTGTAGCTTGTAACTTTCGTTAACTAAGATTTGTAACTTAAACGCAAGATTCATTGGTGGGCTCCTCCTCAACAAGTAACCTGACAACTTTCAGAAGATATTCGTCGCTAGCCTCTTCCAAGTCCTGTGTTTTAGGTTCAGCTTCTGGTGTTCGCAAATCCGTCTGTTAGGTAAAACTCTCAAACATAACCCAAGAGGTTGAAGCGACCTAAAATATATCTACCTGTCTATCTATCTATCTATCTTTCTGTCTACCTACCTATCTATCTCAAACATGCGTTTTGTTGGGTTGACACCAGTGAAACAATATTTTAGTACTTGTTGAAAGAGAGCGAGAGAGAGAGCGCGAGAGAGAGCGCGAGAGAGAGAGCGAGAGAGAGCGAGAGCGAGAGAGCGAGAGAGAGCGAGCGAGAGAGAGCGAGCGAGAGAGCGAGAGAGAGAGAGAGAGAGAGAGAGAGAGAGAGAGAGAGAGAGAGAGAGAGAGAGAAAGAGCCGTTTTCCAGCCTAAAAGCGAAATTCCGCCCCATCTGGCAACCCTAAAAGGACACTCCAAGGAATGGTGCAAGTCTCAGGTAAAATATGTAAAATTTTTCAGGAGTCTTAGGATTTTTTGTGTAAATTGTGGGTATTTTTTAAGCAATTATTTCTCAAAAAAGGCTTCAATTTTTCAATAAAAGTTTTCGTATATAAAAACGATACGAACTAGAAAAGCTTGGTGCTGTTCCATGTTTTCGCGAGCCTTGTATTTTCGAACATTCCGGACGTTACTTGCAAATGTACAAAAGTGAAGATAAATTTCATCTTAAATGAAATCTGATCTAAAAAAGCAGCTATTTAAAAAGGGTCTTAAAGTTTTATTTTTTTGAAAAAAAACAGTAGCTTTCGTTTAATTTATGCTTGAAGTTAAAAAAAAGAATAGGGATGCTACAAAATAGCATAGACTTTCTCGCACTACTTAGTTTTCTAATATCTTTATTCTAGGTTAACTTTTCAACATACCCCTTCGTCCCAGATGCTATCGGCACCAAAACGACATTTCACATTTTTTCAATTTATCCTTCCCCAAAAAAGATTTGAAATATGCCTTTATTATTAATACAAAAGTATATTAATATTATAAATGAATGTAACATTTCTGTATGTTATTTTTAGTTGAAAAAATTGCAGCCGTACGTTTGAGAGAAAATATCGTTTGAGCTCGCATCGTTTTGAGCTCATAATTCACAGAAAAGTTATGAGTTTTCGGAAAATTTCATAACAAATCATTTGAAACACTTGGGTTTACAAATAACATACAGAAAATGCCCGCATTGTAAATATTAAAGACGTGAAATATATTTCGAAAAATTAAGTTTGTGAAAAATTAAATGAATACATCAACATGGCGTGTGAAGCATGTAATTCATTATATTTAGTTCTATCCTTACTAAACGTTTTAAGACAAAATTGGAGTCGTTTGTTAAGAACATGTCGTTTCTGCATCTGAAAAAAAGCAATTTTGAGTTTATTTTCACTGCAAACGTTTGAGTTTTCGAGAAACTTCACAAGATACCATTTAAAGCACTTTTATTCACTAATGCAATGACATATAAAAATGCTCGTAATGTAAATGTTAATAACAGATTGATGTATTTTACTCAATTTTTGCAAGAAGTTTAAATAAAAAATTAGATCATTTTTGAGAAAATTTTGAAAATATCCCGGTGGCTTCATGTACTCTCAAAAAATTAATGAATGTTAACTAAAATCGCAGATATTTAGATGAGGCCATATCGTCCGGGGAGTATTCAGTTGGGTAAAAAAATCCTAAGCATAGTTTAGGCACTAGTGTTGTTCGTAGACACATAGACAATTTAAGGGAATCAACTATTCCCCTTTGCCCCCCCCCCTGTCCAAGTCACATTTATGCCTGGATTCAGTGACACCTGTAATTTTAACTTGCCCACCGCCTCTGTAATGTGTTAATATAACATGTGTATAAACGGATCAGTTTTACTCTACTATCGGATCGCACTGCAAAAGATGGTGTATACAGACCGTTCAGGGCAGTGAACGATTTTAATGACAGATTGTATAACAGATGAGCGTCGCCTAAGAGCGCATCGCTCTCCGCTAAATATTCTTCCGCGAGTCAGCTGAGTTGCATTCACAGCTGGTCGCGGTTGACTGAATTTTGTTGTTCAATGTAATTTTGAT